GTGGAACTATGGACTACGGTGCTAAGAGCCCTTTCTAATCCTTAGTTTTTAGCAGGACGAGAAAAAACTCCTCTCCAACAACTCTTAATCTATCATCCTAATCTTTTAGAACTTGAAAAAAAGTCACCCTGTCCGCGTAAAGTTACGCGCTTCCGAGTCGCGTATATCTTCTCTCTCCCACGCGTGTTTGTCGGCTAATCCAAAGGCGGAAGGGCGTGGAAAGATAAAGAGTAGGAAATGACTCCTGATGCAAATGTATAAGAGAGAAAGAATATATAAAAATGGTTAGGATAATTTAGAAATAGTATAATATTCCTGTTATAAAGTTGTCTTCTATATTTTAGGAGTGGATTATTAGAAATTCTTAGAGATAGCCTTCTTTATTTCTTCTAATATTTTTTTAAAAAATTATAAAACTTTATGTTTTAAAAAAATATTAGGTATTTTTATAGATGCTCTAACATAATTCCTCTGACGGGTGGGCGGTGGGAGAGATGTACCTGCCGATTAAACGGAGCAAGTACAGGCTCGCCTAATGCGTGCAAAGTCTGTGCATTATTTAAACGTACTTAAGCGACTATCGTCATGTTCGTTTATCTTATAATTTATACTTTTCAGTTTATTTTTTCAACCGGAACAGTATTTTTTTCTCACAACAAATTATTCGGAACAATATTTTGGTGTTTTTTTTCAGCGAAGCGAACGAGGCCTACGTGTGGCAGGCGTGTGCAGCATGATCAACTTCCATAAAGATGATGCTAATATTGCTTCGGCGAGTAGAACACAAACAACGACCATGCACGAAAAGGTATCATTTTGTCTGGCGTGAAACACTGAACCTCGATTATTTCCGTTGTTCCAGTTGACCTGATTACTTTGCGTGTTGAGACCACGCAACGGGAAAAGATACTTAGCCATATCTAAGCTAGAGCCCAAATATATGACACTGGTCACCTTTTTTTTCCCCAAAATCATATTATCGTGTATTTATCTCTATGAACCTGCGTAAACTACTCTAAAAACTAAAAATAAACCAATAAATCTTGAGATTCATAAAATCGTTACAGACGTCTTGCTGTTCGATGGTCCTGAAAATGTTACGTAGTAGTATATTGCTCTTGTGGTCTTGAGAATCAGGTAGTTTGCCTCTCAAAATACTGTGACAGAACTGTTGCGCTATAAAGAGCGTAACCGTGTTTCATATTTGTTCGTCTATATGTTTTCACGAGTATAATAATCATATCTCAAGTTGATTGCCCGCACTAGTAAAAAAAGAGGAGATGTGGTGCTTGATCACACACTCACTCGCACCAAAAAAGTATAAAGAAAACAATTTCCACACAGTGTCATATTTTAGTATCTTTAGTTTGACCAGTTATAGAAAAATATTAATATTTATGATATTAAATAGATAATATTTTGAACATAAATTGATTTTGGAGCAGTAAATGTTAATATAATTTGTTAGAAACTTGGTTGTTGTATTATTTTTGGGACACTAGATATATGTCTGTGCATTGCATCAGGGTCATAATTTTTTGAAATGATGAAGCTAATCGGATGCGGACGGGTCAGTTCTGAGGACTTCATATCGGACACGGACATGTAGATCCAATCTTCGTATCGGAACTGGGTAGGGACACGGATGTGTGAGCTCTTAGTGAAGTACGATTCATATCGAACGTGGACGCGGACGCGTGAGTATAGATCAAGATTTGGTATTGCCGGGTTGACGATGACTCTAGAGTATTTTTAGATGTATAATATATATAATATATATATGTAATAGATAGATAGATAGATAGATAATATAGGTGTAGACATAGATATCTCCTGCAACTAAAAAGAACAAAGTGTGGACATCGTTTTGATGCGACAATTACCTTGGTTCGTCCGTCTACCACCCCATGCGATCGATCCCACCTCCCATGCTGTCCAACGGGCGAGCGAGAAAAGAAACGGAGCGAGCGAGAAAAGGAAAGCCCGCAATTTGTCTCATTGATTGAATATTACATGTTTGCAAAATAGAAAGAAGAAAATTATTATGCTATCCATATACACATTGCATGTTTACATGCACCAGTATACATATCAACGAGCAAAAGGAAAGAGAATTAACACAAAAAGAAAGAAAATTAAGATAAAATAAAAGAGAGAGACTGCTATCAATCCTCTGCTATAAATCTTGTGGCCTCGCCATAGCGCCCACCCTCGCCAGCTTAGCTCGTCCTCGCTCGCACCGGTCTCCGCCCTCGCGCCCTCCCTCGCCTATGCTTTGACTTGTATATTTTGATTAATTGGACATTATCTTTTCACGATTTATTGACGAATATTTAAACAAGATGCTCATAGATTAGCCAAACAAGCTTGACAATTTGCTTCTCAGTCTTGTACTTCTACCTGTGAAAAATAGTTATTCTGGTGTTTCTATAATGTATTAGGACAGTCACAATACTATACCTATTAATTTTCATAGATATTACATATAGAAATCATGGTCCTAATGGATAGTTTCTACATAACAATTTTTTATCTAACTACATATATTTTCTTTCTATTCTTTACCAATCACATCCCTTCATGCCTTGGTTCTCGTATAGACATGTCCTAAGAATCTGATATGTGTCATGATTTCAGAATTACATGCTACTCCCAAGGCTGGATGATGAGCAAATTGTTTCTTTGTGCCCAAACTATTTGCACGGAGCAGTGAGGTCCTGGGATCATGCAACGGGGAGATTGTATAGTTTGGAGAGAATGGTTTAGAAGCAGAGCTTGTTGAAATCAAGCATGGAATGATGCTTATATGGTGTTAAAAACTTTAAACATTTAGAAGTTGGCTGGAACTGGATCGTGCTTGGGAGGTATTAAAACTAACAGCCATCGTGCCTCAATGAAGAGTTGATGATTGACTTTGTCAAGCAAATTTAAAAACCTTTGTGTTATAAGGGGGCAAAACTTGAATTTGTGATTTCTGAGCAGATAATTTCTTCTTGTGAAAGTGTTTCTAACTAATTTAGAGTGGACCAATGAATCTACGGAAAATTACTTTCTTAATTCCAACTTATATGACGCTTTGGCTTTTCTAGATACATAACTTTTTTTATATGCTTAGATATACATAATTAAAATAATATATCTAGAAAAATCAAAATATCTTATAATTTCGAACTAAGAGAGAAAGTTCCAATTATTATTTTATAGTGAATTAGCTTGTACCCAGACACAATGCATGAAAATGATATATTTTAAAGTTTACCTTGGATATCATCTTAAAAAACTAGGAAGAATTAAATGTACATTTATGATAACCTCTAATTTACTTTTATCCGTCACTTGCAATAATAATACCTATGATTTAACCATTTCTATATATTGCTGATGGTGAATCTTGTCATAGACACTCAAGTGGATACCTTATTCTATAGTATATGTCTGCGTGAAATAGTCCTAAAGCCACAAATATTTATACGGTGAGTATAACATACTTAAGGTATTATAAGAGATTTTTTAAGACACGCAGTATTACCCATGTGACAGGAATTAATATTTATATATATACTCGAACTTGTGTACATAATGGTATGAAGATGCGGCAGAACTTATTCGTGGATTTATTGGCGTACGAAAGAAATAGATATCGAAGATTTCTTTCTGCCGATATAAAACATTATCTTAGTCGCATCACAGAAAAGTCTATTCAGTAGAGTTTGTGAGTTTGCGACGCCGCGCTCCGTGACTGTGTTAATTTCACGAACTTTGCCTTTTAGATTAAATATCACTTTAATGTCGGTATTTAATTTTATAGTATTGTTATCTTATCGTGCGATCCATGTATTTTTAATATAAAAGTTTAGCTGTCCCGTAGCAACGTACGAGCACGCTACCTTAATGCATATTTGTTAGTTTGGAAGGTTAACTTTCTTTGACATATTATCATTTGCAGGGTCTTGAAGCAGTAGCTATCAAACTCATACAATTTGTTCAAACATACGGTGTATCCTGTGGTCATTTAAATAGACCATTTTCGTCTAATACTGTTGATCAGCATGTAGTTTAATTTCAGACAAGTACGACCATTGACGGCTCAACAAAACTGCTTTAGTTTGTTTTAGTTCTTAAGACAATTCAATTTTTAACTAATTTTTTTTTTATTTTCTAACTTGTTGGAGCTATGGACCTTGCGGATGTAATTTATCTATTGCATATGAACCTTGGTGGATGTAATTTGTAATCCATTTATTTAGGCATTGTTATGAGTAGGGGTGAAAACGATACGGATATTTTTCGACCGTATCCGAGACCGAATCCGTTTAGAGGGTTTAGATCTATCCGTATCCGAGTCCGGATATTCAACATTGGTAATTATTGGCGCACAAAAAAAATGGATATCAGAGATTTCTTCCGATTAATATAAAACATTATCTTAGCCACATCACGGAAAAGATCTATAAAATAGAGTTTGTGAGCCTGCGATGTCGTAGAATATATAGATAGAGAGAGAAGTAGATGACACGGACGAAATGGAATCTGTTGTCCCCGACTAGCAATCGCAACCGTCGTGGTCTGAACAGCTGTGGCGTGGCGGCGTGGGACAGCGGATGCCGGAGTGCAGTCACTCAGATCCCCAAGGGCCAAAATCTCCGCCGTCCATGTCCATGGGCCCCGTGGCCCGTCGCTCTCCGGGGTCAGAGGCCCGCGCCAGACGCGCACGCCACGCGTTAGGTCGACGTGGTTCGGGCCCGCCACGCGGCGTCAGGCGAGTGGGCGCTATATAGCGCGCGCTGTTCGCACTCGCGCTCCCTGTCTTGCCTGCTCTCACGGTCACGGCTCACGCTCCCCTCGCCTGCGTCGCCTCGCCTACTAGTCGCCTCCGATCGAATCGAGTCGGACCGGGTCGTGTGGGCTCGTCGGTCCCGATCTTGTCTTGGCTCCCAGCCACGAATAGAATAGCGCAGCGAGAGAGGGAGGGCGGAGACAGGGCGTGGCCGCAAGGGGAAATGGGATCGGAGGGACGGGCCTGGAACGGCGCGGGCGTGGCCGCCGGCAGCGGCGGCGTAGAGGCGAAAGCGATCACCGCGGCTGTGTCGGCCGCGGAGGTTCCCAGGTTGGCGGTCTCCGTCGACATCTCGCTGCCGCTCCCGGAGATGTCGCCTGACATCATGTAAGTACAACCGCGCCACACACCCCACCCCCCCTCGATCGTCTTGCTTCCGCCCGGGTTGGTCTCGTGCTCCACTGCTCAGCTGCGTCTGTCGGCTCGTGTCGTGTTCGAGTAGTCGCGAGCGCGCGGGGCGGTGTAGGTACCCGTGCCCGCGAACGATCGAGCCGGTAGTGTTCGAGGAAATGCCTCCGCGTGTGTGCGGGAGACAGACAGGAGTGTGCTGATGCACGGAAAGTCTCTCTGATTTGGGGATCGCTGGTGCTTTTTCAGATTTCTCTGCAAGGAATTGGTCATTGGGTGGTGTAAGATTGACAGCTCGCGCTTCTCCATCGAGACCGTGTCTGGAGGCATCACCAATCTATGTGAGTTCCTGTTCCCCTGCCCTGACAGTGGCATGGCATGGCTTGTAGCGCCGTCCAGATTCCTCACCTTTTCGCCTGAGCAGCATGGTGATCGTAGTAAATAAATGGATACAGTAATTCGTAGTTAGTTGTTGCTTGAAATGTTGCTTTGACATGAGGACATGCCCTTTTTCTTTTTCTCGCTGTAAAGTCTGCTTGTCCGCTTCCTGCTACTCATTCTTCCCATTTGCTGATGAAGCAGCAGAACCTAATGCTTTTTGCAAACTTTATGCGATTAGATACTCCCCCGGGGCACTGCATAATATTTCCTCTGGCCTGTATCATTTCTGCTGTCATTGTCACATCTGCCCCATCATGCTTGCAGCATTAGAAAATAATAAGAGCCTGCTGTCTCTGTATCTGCACCTAATTCAACCATAGTGATGATTCGCATGAACAATTATTCACTGATTCATGTGCGCAGCAATAATTTCTTTCAATCTGTAGTCCATGATGTTTATTCGTTATTACCTACAGTGCTCAAGGTTTCTGTCAAAGAAGACAACGGCGATGAGTCTTCTGTTACTGTCCGGTTGTATGGACCAAATACGGATTTGGTGATTGATCGGAAAAGGGAATTGCAGGTGAGAATCTGAGTGGTATTATATGCTTTCAATAGAAGCAGGGCTTTTGCTTTTGGTCTAAAAAAGAATCTGAGTGGTACAAGATTGTGTGTTACCTATAGTATTCCACAATGATTCTAGGCTTCTAGCATTACCCCTTGTGTTGGTGCCATATTTTTATAGTGGCACATTTTCAATTCTTCTAGACACAGAATAGTCATGGTTTTGTAGTAGCATCTGTCCTACCAAGTGCATTACCTTTTGTTTCATATCTGTACCTTTTTCCCTGACGAATGGATTTCATTTCATTTTCTGAAAAATGTTTACATAGAATGATAATTTTTAAGGGTCCCTAGACTGTACACATAGTGTAATGTACCCACAAAATTAAATCTCATTTCGGTTCTAAAATATTTCCTAATGCATACATCTATTACCGTCATGGTTAGGCGATACCGTATCTCTCAGCTGCAGGGTTCGGGGCTCGGCTACTTGGAATATTTGAGAATGGAGTAGTTCAGTCATTCATCTATGCTCGAACACTGTCACCTGCAGGTAGGCGTACTTCCCGTCTGAATAACGAATGGGTGTGGGGTCCTAATCAACTTAGTGCAACCGTTTCTCTATTCTCCTTTGTAGTTTTAGTTGCAATTTCAAATGCAAGTTCAAAGGAATTGTGTTTTTTCCTTTCCCTGTAGTCAGCATTATCCACGATTTGGTATGTCAATTTGAAGCCTTGGATGTTTGGAGGTTTTATGAAATGCTTCTGTAAACAAATCTACTGATCCTCATTATTTTGTTTTCTAGACATGAGAGATTCTAAAATAGCAGCTGAAATTGCCAAGGAGCTACGCAAATTCCATCAAGTAGACATACCAGGGTCTAAAAAACCGCAATTGTGGAATGATATATTCAAGTTTTTGAAGAAAGGTAGGTGACTTATGCTGCTCGTTTGAGACTGTTGCTTTTATGTCAATGACATCTCAAACATGACACCTTTCTTGGCACAAGTTAGTAACATAAATAATATTTTTGTGTGCTATCAAATGCACCTTGCAGCTGCAGCATTGAAGTTTGAGGATAACGAGCAGCAGAAGACATATGAAAAGATTTCATTTAGAGAAATACAAGACGAAGTTCAAGAACTTAAGGTACCTTGAAGTTGACAATGTACCTTCTGATATTTCAGGCCCATTTCGCCCTTCTTAGAGTGATATTTTCCTATTTTTTCCTTGGGCACAAATAGTAGTTGATCCTTCCCTGGTATAGTGGGCCATGTAGCATAGTTACGAAGCAAAATGCTGGTTGTGGTGGTGATGGGTTTAGGCCCATACTAGGGAACTAAAACCGAAGATAGCAGTTACTCCTGCCAATTCCTACCATCTGTACTTCATATTTCTTCATCAATGTCCGTGCACCTTTTAGGATCTCTTGGACATTCTGAATGCTCCTGTGGTTTATGCACACAATGACTTGCTTTCAGGAAATCTGATGCTCAATGATTTGGAAGGTAAAATATTTTCCTTTGTATCAGCTTCCCCCCTTTTTATTATTACTCATTTGCAAAACTAACCATAGTGGCGGTGTGCCTGTTGTTTCCTCTGTCAGGGAAGCTATATTTTATTGATTTTGAGTATGGGTCATACAGCTACCGTGGCTATGACATTGCAAATCATTTCAATGAGTATGCAGGATTTGATTGTGACTATAATTTGTAAGTTATCTCCATGTCAATGAAATACTCCAAAGCAATATATTGTTGTCATGTTCTTAGTCAGCAGTTACATTTGATTGTGTTTTTAGGTACCCAGATAAAGATGCCCAGTATCACTTCTTCAGGAATTATCTACGCCCTGATAGACCTAGTGAGGTATGTGAAACAAAACCAATTGAAATCTATTCTTGGAATTCGAGTTCTTTCTAGAGTAAATGAAGCTTTCTGCTAGTACCTTCTCTTGTAACATATATTTGACGCTATGAGTAGTTCCGTCTTTGCTTGTTTTTTTGAAGTTAGTAATGCCTCCATATGTGCTACATGTGTTTGATATTTAGAGTGTTCTTAAGCTGAACCTGGTTAGCATTTGTTTGTATTAGCTACTGGGATATCTCAGATGTTTGGCATTCATAGAAGGCTGAAAGACATACAGGATTTCTCATTTTTTCTTTACCAACGGCAGAACATTTGGAATTTTCTGTTCTGATGTAATTCATGATTCTCTGTTTTCTTTGGCAACTGAAAGGCGCAGGCACCAGATATGGAAGTGCTTTATGTGGAAACAAACACTTTCAGACTAGCATCGCACATTTACTGGGCATTATGGGCCCTTATTCAGGTGAGCAAAGTTATTGATTCTGCACACATGATTTTTTTTTTTGGGATCACCTAGGTTCCATGTAAAAGATACTGTGAATGGCAAAACTTAATGATTAGCACTTGAATGCAGGCAAAGGTATCCCCAATTGACTTTGACTATCTTGGATACTTCTTCCTACGGTATGGTGAGTACAAAAAACAGAGGGAGTCCTGCTTCTCCTTGGCACAAAGCTTCCTCTCCGAGCTAAGGAATGGCTAGAGCCTGAGAATCTGTTCACGAGTTCATACTGTTGTACGGATATACTCGGGGCCTGCTACTCAGAAACTCTATTATAGTGGTGGTAGCAGCCCCGCATTGTCTATCTGATGTTAGGTTCGTCATTGCCTGATAGGAAAGTCGCATGATCCTTCCTCGGGAACACAGGGTGGCAAGATCTGTTTGTTATATTTGTAATAAACACAATCCTGGTGGGTTCTGCCCTGTGCAATTTGTTGTGCACATAAGCATTCCGTGTTTTGATACATTCTTGTGAGGAACTGCATAAGTTTTTTTTTCCCGATTAAATCATATATTGTTTTTCATGTCTGGGTAGTCCTTTGGATGTGCGTACACACACAACGCATAAGGATCACAATCAACTACTCCTTCGAACCAGTTTTTTTTATACATTATTTTACTATATATATATATATATATATATATATATATATATATATATATATATATATAAAAACATAGTGTATATGTAAGTGCATAGTAGAAACTATTTATCTAGAAAATCCAAAACGATTTATATTTGGAATGTAGGGGATATGATGCAAGCCATGCCCAATTACAAACATAGTCACATAATAAGTCTTTTGAAAGCATGTTTGAGTTTACATCAAGTTCAATGTTCACATAAGGTTTACAAAAGCATGTTTGAGTTCGCATCAGGTTCAAAGAGTCCACGCTCATGCACATAGGCCAAACATGCTACAATGGCACTCATACAGTAGACAACATAAGCTGGTCATATCATTCTCGTATCATATAGCCATCGGCCGTCTACTCAGTTGCTCGGACACTCCATCAGCGGGAGCTGTTATGCCCCGGTTGCTCGGACACTCCATCAGCGGGAGCTGTTATGCCCCAGCCGCTCGAACGGAAACAAGGCATATCACATAATTATTTGAGATTGAGAAGAAATATTAGAAAATAGGAACAAAAATAATGTGTGGGTCGGTTGAATACAAGACTCGAGCCCGTTCGGCTGGCTTTAAGCCGGCTGGCTGGCTGGTTCTCGCTCTCACAAAATCACTGTTCACGTCCTGTCAGAACAGTATTTTCTCTCACAACAATCAGTCGGAACAGTATTTTTCAGTCCTGCCGAACAGGCCCTAAAAGATTAAGACAATCATTGCTCACCACTACACCATTGTAACCTGAGACTTCGACAAAGGTACCCCTTTTCTAGTTCCTTGCATTAGTTGTCTTGTTTGAATTGTTTGCATAAATAATACATATATGTGAATTCAAATGTTTTCGACATTAGGTCCAAATTCTCCACTAGAAATTATGACCCAATAAATTTGAAAGAAATTGGAAAGGGAAATGAAGCTTTGGATCTTAGAAGACAATCCACCTTGCTTAACTCTAAAGAGCAGAGCGCCTTTAGCTCTGAACTGTCCGCACTAAGTATACATTGCAGCGATGGTTGTCAGTTGTGAAATCAGTTCAACATACATTGTTTTTGCTTATTTACCATCAAATCTAAATTCATAAACAAAATTTTAGAATTGGTGCTAGACTTGGATGTTCTTGAGGCTGATGCAATGGAAGAAAGTGATTGAGATTTTGGACAATCGGAACCATGAAAGGGAAAGGCAGGAAGATGCATTTGATTACCATGGCATTGCACTTGACGTTGATGGAGCAAGTCCTGATGCTACTGCACGAAGATGAATGGGATCCACTGATTTTTTATTGAGTACCAAGTGTTTTGTTCTATGTTTGTATCTTTTCAGTACAAATTTGTTTGGAACTTATAGCATGTTAGTACATTATCACACACTTGATATTTTGTATTAAAGAACCTGCCAGCCAGGTTCTGCATTTCTATATTTTATTATTTCTATGATGTATGAACTACGAAGACGAACTTTATGTTATTGTTATCAGGCACTTGATCTTTTGAATTTTAAGAACATATCATTTTGTACCTGCATATGTATGAACCTTATGGTTGTACAATTAAATTGTGTCGTTTACCATCTGTTAATTATTAATTATATTATATATGCTGACTCAATGTATTTGTGTCTGGTTCAATTTATCCGGTCCAAAACAATTGAACTGGCGGTTCAACCGGTTCTAAACAGTTGGACCAATGAACTGTCGTCAGTTCAATCTTCGGTCCGGTCCTAATAACTATGTTATAAACCATATACGACCATGTAAATCTAAGAAAAAAATATTCCCCACAAGAATAATATTTTAGATAAAAATGTATCACGTGACATCTCATAGAGTATAGAAAAAACTACGTAAGAGATAAAACAAAATAAAATATAAAAAGAAATAAAAAATAATAGAATAAAAAAGATTGTAATCAAAAGTAATAGAGGAAATAAAGGAAAACAACATAAAATACATTAAAGAACATCACATGGACACTACTTGAACAACCTAAAATATACAATAGAACATCTCACAGGTTCTATGTGAATACTCAAAAATAATCGGAGAACATCGCATTTATATAATGTAAGCATTATAAAATATATCATAAAAACATCGCATGTATACTACGTGAACATCACAAAAATACATTGTAGAACATCACATGTATACCACGTAAACATCATAGCACATCACATGTACATTACGTAAACGTCACTAAATACATCATGTTACATCACATGTATCCTACATGAACATCATAAAATACATCATAGAACATCACATGTATACTACGTTCACAACACAAAATACTTCATAAAACATCATATACATATTACGTGAATATGACAGAATACATCATACAACATGACATATATATTACGTGAACATCACAAAAATACATCATAGAACATCACATGTTTACCACCTGAGCCTCACAAAAATATATTACAGAACATCAAATATATATTACGTGAACATCACTAAATATATAGTGATGATTATGAACATGAGCCTGCCTGCGGACGCCGCAAAACATCCCACTTGCAACTCGATACCTACGGTGTTATGTATGTATGATGATGGAACCATAAACCATTCCAACCCTACGTAGCCAGTAGCCTCTTCTGTTGCATCTGCTACGTCTTCGACCCCTCCAACCATGGCAGCGACGTCCATCGAATCTGCTACACCTTCAACCCCTCCCACCAAGGCAGTGGAGGTCTTCCCACAATCCACATGGAGGAAGAAGCGTTCCTAAAAGGGCAAGTACAAATTCAACCTTCTTCCACTGAAGGTAAGAACGCCAAAGCCGCTGCTAGCAGTCCGCAAGCTGAGGAAGAAGACGGAAGCCATTGATAGCGTCATCGAAAACCCCATGTGTCGTAGGCTCGACCTGGAGGAGGAAGCTGGTGATAGCGGTGTCGGCGAAAACCCCTTGTTGGTGTGCCGTAGGCTCGACCTGGAGGAGGAAGCCGGTGATGGTGGCGTCGTCGAAAACCCCCTGCTGGTGCGTCTTAGGCTCAACCTGGACGACACCAAGATTGGCAGCAGCACACTACTATGCTTCAACAGGGCCACGCTCAAGGACAACCTAAGGTCCCTTGCCAAAGTTTCCTTGGACGACAACAAGAAGCCACACCACACGTCAGCATCGTCGAAGATGGATCTGCGCTCCTACAGCTGATCAGAGCTGATGGAGAACCTGAGGATCCTTGCAAGAAAAACACCCTGTTGCTACCCCTCGCCATCGTCAACACCAGCTCCACCTCCACGACAGATGAACAGGGCACGCTAACAAGGGAAAGAGCAAGGCGATGGCAACAAGAAGGATGGAGAAACTTACCTTGGTGCCTTACAAGAGCAAGTGTGCCGCTGCCGCAGTTGACGAAGGTGCCGCATACCGTTGCCGACGAAGACCTTATCTCCATGGTGCTTGTCATTCGTAACGAGTCAGCTAGACCAGAGGTAATGTACGTACCGGATTGGAGGTCCAAGTCTGTGGTACTCCTTGACGTGAAGACGCTACGATAGCTAGTGCGCATCACCCCTGTGATAGATGCGACATAGAATGAGCTGGTGCAAGCGGACGAGACGTGCTTGGGTGAGGACCTGGACAGCGTCCCGGAGGGCCCTGAGCTAGAAGAGGAGCACCAGCGTTTGCATGTCTTGGTGGATAAGTTAATGGGGCATGTACGCGCAATCATCGGTAACATTCATTTGTAATTCCTGTGTTCATGTCATGCATTATTGACGTACGCCTTTTTTAAGTTAACATGAAGGAAGCCCTAAGATATATTTTGGTGTATTAATGTGTTTAAGTTACCACGAAGCAAATCCTGAGATATATTTTCATGTACATACACTAGTGGAGAAATGAGATCTAGTCCCGGTTGGGAACTAGTTCTACTCCCGGTTTCCCAACCGGGACTAGCAATCCGGGACTAAAGATGTTGTGTACTTTAGTCGCAATCATCGGTACTAAAAGATCATTTAAAAAAAATGCCTCATTTGTAATTCCTGTGTTCATGTCATGCATCTAACAATAGATGATGCTTTCGAACTACGCCTTTTCCCGGTTGATGTTACCAACCGGGACTAAAGACATCCCGGGACTAAAAGCCCTTGGTGTTACCAACCGATATATTTTGGTGTAACCGGAATGTGTTCCAACCGTTACAAGCAAGCAAGTCCCGTTGGTGTCTCCAACCGGACTAAAGGTCTCTTTCCTGAGATATATTTTCATGTACATACAGGTAAAATGGAGTTTTCTAATTGGAAAGGAACCGTACTTACTTCCGTGGTCGACACTTTCCAAACACAAAATGTCACGGACATTCACTCAAGGTAGGTTGAACTCATACGTATTTGTTTTTAATACAATTTCAAAATTAATTGTTTGGACGATCCTATAACTAGCCTTTTGGATTTTTCAGCAATGCTTTTATGAACATAGATGTGAAGTTCTCCTTTGAGAAGAATGAAAGCAATGTTGCCCAAAGTATAAATGTAACTTTGATAATAGATGGGTGTGATTTAGGTTTAGGAGTGTCTAAATAGCGTGATAATGACAAAAACGAACTCATTACATCACTTAG